TCACATAAGAATTCTTATTCTGGAAAAATAAAGTAACAGAAACTGTATGATCTGAAATTTTGCACACAAGTTATTAGTCTAGACCTACATTAAATAAATTATTGGAACGTTAATCTCGAAACATTATTTCCAGTTCTGTCTTGTCCAAAAATGGCAGTCATATAAGAAGGTCACAAGTTTGAGTACAAGGTCAATGTGATGCATGTTTTCAAGGTCATCCATCAGTATACATGTATCTCACTTTAGATCTTGAAAGTCTTCAGTGTTAAACATCTTATGGTTCAGTGAAAAACAATTAAAATTGATGTAATTCCATGAAAATTAATGGAATTGTTCTGTTGTATGTTTGAAATAGGGGGAAGCTGCATTGTAACTGGATAAAAAAACATGCATTCTGATAAAAGGGAAAGGCTGATAAATTTTATCAATGCAGTGTTTTGAATTTTTCTCAGAGCAATATGTTTGTGTATCATTGGGGAAAATGAAAATATGGCTCAATAATATTGACTTCCAGACATTTTATTTAGTCGCCCCATCCCTGTTTTATTAGGATAAATTGTCTTTTGTCTTGATGTTTGAACCATTATAAGATTTGTTTAGTTCTATAAGTAGACAGCCTGTAATGGTGATATTTCAAAGGCAGATTTTGAATAGAAATTTGTCATTTTGATCAAATCGATGACGACAATTTGTAGGAGGAATATCAATAAGATAAATGAAAAGAGCCAAGCGTTTGTTTTTAAATAAACGACTTGGAGAAAAAATTGCAATGCCTGAGTAATATTAAGGCTTAATGGAGTAATGGTATTAGATGTTTCTTTATTCAGTTTTGTTGAATTAGGTATGGATTTTTTAGCAAGCTTATAGTAATTATAATATAGGGATGGAGGAGGTTTATTGACCTCACACTGTACATATCTGACTGCCTTTGGCTTGAACTCAGTCCAGATTCTTATATAGGGGTACCTCAATTATGAAGCCATTTACAGTATACATGTATTGGAGATCCTTGAACCTTTTCAATACAATAGCCATATGATAAAGTTCATTATTCGTTTTATTTAACCCTTTCCCCCATGAGCATATTGTGAAAAATGGCCATTTTCACTGAAAAGCCTCCTCTTACAAGTTCAAACTGCTATGAAACTATGAAAAAATGCTTCAATACTAATCAAACTTGGCACAAATGTTGACTGGACCATTGCCTTTGTAACGACATGCTCAGTCTTAAATTTCCTGTTACCATGGCAACGAGGGGACATCTCAAAATTGCCAAAAATCACTATTTTGCCTCGATTTTTTCCATCAAAATTTATTTCAAAGTGCTGCAACTTCTCAAGGGATTGAGATAGAGTCAAAGGCTTTTCAGCGTTGGTTACACATTACCTTATGACCAACCTGGGGTCATTTTAAGCCTCTCACAAGTCCAAAATTTTCTTGGCGATGAGGGGGACTCCGCCCCCCTTCAAACCCCCCAAACAGAAGGGGGCACATCCCCCTTCTGGCAACCCCCTGATGTATTATTTGGATGGGGGACGGCGCCGAAAAAATGGTCACTTTTTTAACAACATTTCTCAAACGAAATACAGTGTTTGGGGTCTAAATAGGACATTTTTTCACTGTTTTGAGGCCTCAAAAAGGGGGGGGGCAAAAAGCCGTCGAAACACGCTTATATAAGGGAAAAGGTTAAGAAGACATAATTAATAAATTATATACATGTATTGTTTTAAATTTCTTGTTAGTTGAACAAGACTGACAACAAAGATCTTAAGATCATAACTTTTTGACATTGGCACATTTTAACAAAAAATTTTCAGAGAGATTATTAACCTTGTTGTTATATTGCTAGCTTTTCATAGATTTTCCTCCTGTTTGTTGCATGAAATCTACATGTAAGAATCAATTGATGTTTTGATGTAATTTAATCCAAATACCTTGAGATCCAATATTTTGAATCATTTATAATAACAGTTCTAAAAATAAACAGACTGATGCCTTGAGAGAGAAAAATATCTTCCACTAATGGAAGTAATTAAACTGGCTTATGGGATAAAATGTCTTTTACTCAAGTGCCTACTGGTGTTTGAGGATTTCCAATTCCTATTATTGATGTGTTGACATTTTAAACCATGTGACTCAGGCAGAAGCTTTAATCTTGACATTTTCTGCATTTGGCTTTTAAATGAATATTTGGTATTTATTTGTGTTAGGTTCTTGAATGTATAATGTTTTAATTAGATCACAAATGTATTAATCATTATCATTCACCAACACCACTAAAGTTATTGAAAAAAAAAGTCTTACACAGTTATTTCCCTTTGCATGTATTGTTTTTTGTAAATATAAGGGAGACTATTGCAGTCATCTTATTTTTCATGATAAATACAGTTGTCTCCTTTACTATAATGTATTGATATTGTACGCTTTTCTATGCCTTAATTTTTCAATTTTTAACTGAAATAATGTAAAATTTCAAATCATTTGCAATGTGTAAAATAAAACTTTTACATAATTTGAGCATCATTGTTTCTGTTAATTGTCTGTCTTGTACAAAAAAAAAAGAGTTAAGCATTGAAGTGCCAAAAAAAAAGGACAAGATTTGCAATTCAAAACCTGCTAATAGAAATTATGTAAATCAGATTGGTTATCTTGGGGCAGTTTCAAGATGCATAAATATAACACATTTCCTCATTACTTAACATTACTGTTCAATTAACATGAGGGTTCATTTTTTAGAGGAATCTCAGGGATATAGTTAAAAAAAAACCCAGTAGGTTATATTCAAGTTTATGTTTTAGCATATTTTGCCTCAGAAAAAAATAAGTTGTTTATTCTACAGAAAGGGCAAACATGTGTTAAATAATGTATGTAATAATGAATTTCAAACAGTTGCCATATCACTGGTAGAGAGAACTTCTGAATGTAGTAATATATAATTATAATAAAGGTAGCATTTAAATGACTAACAGAATGGTATTTTGACTTCCATGCAAAATCACTATAATATAACAATACTACTTGCCAAAGAACAGCAAAAGCAGAAGGTGGTTCAGCTTATGACTTGAATTTTATAATTTTTTGGAAACCACCGGAGCATTACATATATTATTGGACTTTTGGTTAAAGTTTTCTCACTTAGTAATAAAATAATTGCTCTGAAACTAAAATGGAATACTGGTTTATGACTTCCATAAATTGGCATTTCTTGAAAAAAAGATGATTCTTATGAGATAAAAAGCACCCATTTTATTTTAAAAAGTACTTACTGAGGTGTTTTACTGGAAATATTTTTTTTTAAATTAAATGTTCCATTTGATGTATACATAAGTCTATAAAATGATAACTTGTGATCAAAATTTTAGATCATTCGCTCATACAGTTTTTGCAGAATATTTTACACATACAAAATGCAAAAAAGCGTTGCAGTCAGACTATGAAAAGCGTAAAAAATAAACAAATTTAATATATTTCTGGGGATATTTCTGAATTATCTTTTGCATATCTCTGTTATCAGTGTCCCAGTTGATCATATGTGATAAATTTAAATTTTCTATTTTTAGGCATTTGGACCTCAGACTAAAATTTTGATACTTGGAAGTGCTGGAGGATTTTGACATATTTTTTCAGCGTAAAATTTTCCAAAAACAAATGCAATTACTGTCTTTAGCAGTAGATCATCAAGTCAAAGGTTTCGCAATTTGCATGATCTAAAAAGTGTATTAATTTTGAAAAAAACTCAGGGTTACCCTGCTATGTTACATAATTCAGAAACATAGTCCACTGATGACTAAATCAAATCATTACATAGTAATTAAAGTCATACATTATTAAACATCATGATACGATTTTTATATAACTTTGAAATAGAAATTGATCTTTCAATTTGGGTAACACTGTTCATCATTTTTAGGGAATTGCAAAATAAGTTACTGGATGAATAGTGCAGTGGGTTACAATCAGTTGCCATCAGCAGACTAAGGGTTATTTGTGGCATGCTAAAGGCCACCCATTGGTTACAGGTCATAGTGTATGTGTCTATAGATAGATAGCACATAATTACTCTTAGATATTTTAACATCTGACCTTATAAATATTTCAATAGACCTATAATTATATTATTACCTTTTAAGGTGACATATGGCAGGTAGTGAACTTAAGGGTTGAAGGTCTTGGTAGCCATACTAATTAGTTCTGACCATGTTTTCCTATAAATTATCTGTATTTGTTTTAGTTATAGGAAGTGGAGAAGTGTTCAAATGAGGTCTTGTTGTCTTATAGTCATTATCAGGCTTAAAATATATAAATATGTTAATTTTAAGCCATATATATACAAGTATAGATGGTGTGGTAACTGTAAAAGAGACATGTAGTCAACTTGATTTTGTTACTTTGATTGAGAGCTAAATCATTGTATTTGTTTTGTTTCTGTATTAATTTATTCAACTTTGAATTAAATGTTTTGATGATTAATGATAATGAATATAAATCGTCACCGTGTCCAAAATATTTTTAATCTGATCATCAAAGCTTTCTATTACTGCTGGCATAAATGATAAAAACTCACTTGAAAATGTATATTATATAATTATTATACTATGTAATATTGAAATCTGCATTTTACAAAAGAGGGGAGATAAAAAAATGTATAACAGTTCAGGGAAATATGTTAACATTATGTATAAAATTTTCACTTTCTGAATATGGCATACTATTGTATAGATTATTATCATTTTAGGTGATTTCCATTCAGATCCATATCTATTGATTCAATTACATATTCTCCAATACTGTCAATCAGGTACCATTGCTACTTCCTATAAATAATTGATCTGCTTCGTCTAATGTATAATTGGTCGCTGGTCGTATAGAAGATGAAAATCTATCACCGATTCCGATAGCTCTGTAAGTTTCCAAAAATCTATGATCAAGTTAAACCTGCAATACTTGCTTGTTCAATCAATTAATTGATTTTTTCTCTTTTCTCCTTTTTTTTTATCTAGGAAACTGTTTACCAAAGAGTTTTCTCATGACGTCGGGAGAATCGTGCTTTCAGAGAGAGTTTGTTTTCCCTAGCATTGATCTATTGAAAGCACCAATGATACAAGCATGGAAAATATCCATATATAGATTTTGGCAGCGGCTTTTGTTACCCCTTCTGTGAAAATACGGAGCTAGATGCATTAAGAAAACATTAGCGAGGCTGGATGTTGTTGTTGTTGTTGGTTTTTGTGCCGGTATAAGAAGGAAATCTTTGATACGTTGGAAAAAAGGAGGTCATTGGTTCAGAAGCTATGAAGGTCATAAAGGTTAGTAATGTTTCTTACTACTTTTTTATGTAAAAGGCCACAATTTTGATAAAGATCATGGATTTTTATATATGTTTAATATTCACATAATATGAATTGAAGGATAAAAAGCTTCGCCTTGTAACGTATTGATTTCTTTGTAATATCATACTTTTCCATGGTTTTTTTTTTTCTGTGGCTCTTTTGGAATTATTTGGAAAGAGGTGGGTTTTATTTGATCCTTAATTAAGTTTTATGACTGTACTGTTTGACATGTCATGGTTTTTTCTTGGAAGAAATGGTTTTTATTTGAAGTTGGTAATTTGCTGTAGTTGATTCTCATTGTTTCTGCTGCTGAAAGGAAAAATGTAACTTAGGGAGATGGCAGAAGGAAATAATATATCAAAGTGACATGGTAAATAATGACAAATAAATCATAGGAATATGTATGTATTTGCTTTGAATTGATTGCAATAAGATATTTCATTATTTCTTAACAGGTTGTTTTTTGTGTGGTTTTTTTTTTTGGGGGGGGGGGTGGAGGGGGGGGGGGGCAAATTAACATATTTTAGTTCCTTACCAAGTTACTTGAGATGAAATATGTGGAAAAAAAAACCCAAGCAGGTAGATTATAGATATGATACTATACTGTGAAAGCCTAACGATTAAAGACTAAAGTCTTCAATGTCAACTTCTCTACTTTACTGATAACATATAGGTCTGCCATTATTCAGTGTAGATTGACTTTACTGGTGGTATATAGGTCTGCCATTATTCAGTGTAGATTGACTTTACTGGTGGTATATAGGTCTGCCATTATTCAGTGTAGATTGACTTTACTGGTGGTATATAGGTCTGCCATTATTCAGTGTAGATTGACATTACTGATGGTATATAGGTCTGCCATTATTTAGTGTAGATTGACTTTACTAGTGGTATATAGGTCTGCCATTATTTAGTGTAGATTGACTTTACTGATGGTATATAGGTCTGCCATTATTTAGTGTAGATTGACTTTACTGGTGGTATAAAGGTCTGCCATTATTTAGTGTAGATTGACTTTACTGATGGTATATAGGTCTGCCATTATTTAGTGTAGATTGACTTTACTGGTGGTATATAGGTCTGCCATTATTTAGTGTAGATTGACTTTACTGATGGTATATAGGTCTGCCATTATTTCAGTGTAGATTGACTTTACTGGTGGTATATAGGTCTGCCATTATTTAGTGTAGATTGACTTTACTAGTGGTATATAGGTCTGCCATTATTTTAGTGTAGATTGACTTTACTGATGGTATATAGGTCTGCCATTATTTAGTGTAGATTGACTTTACTGGTGGTATATAGGTCTGCCATTATTTAGTGTAGATTGACTTTACTGGTGGTATATAGGTCTGCCATTATTTAGTGTAGATTGACTTTACTAGTGGTATATAGGTCTGCCATTATTCAGTGTAGATTGACTTTACTGGTGGTATATAGGTCTGCCATTATTTAGTGTAGATTGACTTTACTGGTGGTATATAGGTCTGCCATTATTTAGTGTAGATTGACTTTACTAGTGGTATATAGGTCTGCCATTATTCAGTGTAGATTGACTTTACTGATGGTATATAGGTCTGCCATTATTTAGTGTAGATTGACTTTACTGATGGCATAATTTGGTCTGCCATTATTCAGTGTAGATTGACTTTACTGATGGCATAATTTGGTCTGCCATTATTCAGTGTAGATTGACTTTACTGATGGCATAATTTGGTCTGCCATTATTCAGTGTAGATTGACTTTACTGATGGCATAATTTGGTCTGCCATTATTCAGTGTAGATTGACTTTACTGATGGCATAATTTGGTCTGCCATTATTCAGTGTAGATTGACTTTACTGATGATATCAGATCTGCCATTATTCAGTGAAGTATGGCTTAACTGGTGGCATATAGGTCAGCTATTGTTGAGTGTAGATTGACTTAATTGATGGCATGAAGATCTGCCATTATTCAGTGTAGATTGATTTTACTGATGGCATATAGGTCTGCCATTATTTAGTGCAGATTGACATTACTGATGGCATATAGATCTGCCATTATTCAGTGTAGATTGACTTTACTGATGGCATATAGGTCTGCCATTATTTAGTGTAGATTGACTTTACTGATGATATAGATCTGCTATTATTCAGTGTAGATTGACTTTACTGATGATATAGATCTGCCATTATTCAGTGTAGATTGACTTTACTGATGGCACATAGGTCTGCCATTATTCAGTGTAGATTGATTTTATTGGTGGTATATAGGTCTGCCATTATTTAGTGTAGATTGACTTTAGTGATGGCATAATTTGGTCTGCGTTATTCAGTGTAGATTGACTTTACCGATGATATAGGTCTGCCATTATTCAGTGTAGATTGACTTTACTGGTGGTATATAGGTCTGCCATTATTCAGTGTAGATTGATTTTACTGGTGGTATATAGGTCTGCCATTATTTAGTGTAGATTGACTTTACTGGTGGTATATAGGTCTGCCATTATTTAGTGTAGATTGACTTTACTGATGGCATATAGGTCTGCCATTTTCAGTGCAGATTGACATTACTGATGGCATATAGGTCTGCCATTATTCAGTGTAGATTGACTTTACTGATGGCATAATTTGGTCTGCCATTATTCAGTGTAGATTGACTTTACTGATGGCATATAGGTCTGCCATTTTCAGTGTAGATTGACTTTACTGATGGCATATAGGTCTGCCATTATTTAGTGTAGATTGACATTACTGATGGCATATAGGTCTGCCATTTTCAGTGTAGATTGACTTTACTGATGGCATATAGGTCTGCCATTATTTAGTGTAGATTGACATTACTGATGGCATATAGGTCTGCCATTATTCAGTGTAGATTGATTTTACTGGTGGCATATAGGTCTGCCATTATTCAGTGTAGATTGACTTTACTGATGATATAGGTCTGCCATTATTCAGTGTAGATTGACTTTACTCAGATGGCATAATTTGGTCTGCCATTATTCAGTGTAGATTGACTTTACTGATGGTGTATAGGTCTGCCATTATTCAGTGTAGATTGACTTTACTGATGGCATATAGGTCTGCCATTATTCAGTGTAGATTGACATTACTGATGGCATATAGGTCTGCCATTATTCAGTGTAGATTGACTTTACTGATGGCATATAGGTCTGCCATTATTTAGTGTAGATTGACATTACTGATGGCATATAGGTCTGCCATTATTCAGTGTAGATTGACTTTACTGATGGCATATAGGTCTGCCATTATTCAGTGTAGATTGACTTTACTGATGGTGTTTAGGTCTGTCATTATTCAGTGTAGATTGACTTTATTGTATATGTCGCCATACAGGAACTGTGACAGTTATTACAAAAAATTGTTTGATACTTTATACTTTATTGTCACTTTGCGACAACAGTGTGGTTAATTAGAAACTATATAAAAGTTCTAGGAAAGAAAACTTTTATCAAGAATTGACAGAAATGTTAGCTAATAGAGGCTTATGCATGTCAACAGTTTTCATTACGTCATTGGAATAAAGGACAGAATCCTAATTTTCAGATTGTGTACAGATATAATACTATGTTTAATTTATTCTTAACCTTAATTCTAGGATTCAGCTCTAGATTATCTTATTCCCTGCATAATATACTAAGATGCATCTTAAATTGATTATCCTCAGACTGAAATAAAAGTTGCTGTTGGACAGGTCTGGTGTAACAATATATCCCTAGATAATGATCACCATGTCAAAATGATTTGACATTACTGTCATTTGACTTAGAGAGATCAAAGTATAGATCATGTATAGATGATTTCACTGGATAAAATTCAAGGTTGTTACAGAAGTAAATAGTCCTTAAAAAAATCATTGCTGGCCCTTTAGTAACATTAAATTTATTCTGGCTTTGACAAAGACCTTTAAATGTCTGTAATTCCTGTCTGTGGCTTTAACTTTGATTTTAAAAAAATGTATTAAAACTCATTTTCAGACTGAATAATAATTATTTTGTTACGATATGATAGATTACAGATGCAGTTAAAAGAAGCAGATTCATAATATATGCATCTATCAATGCATCAATAATTGTAGTCAGTGACGTCTTTACTGAACATGTAAATGTAAACAAAAAACAGTGTAGATTCATTTTCAGCACACTGAAAGATGGACAAGTTTCATGAAGATATTTAGCAATGTAATGTTTATAGCCTAAGAGCCAATGCCATAATTTAATCAAATTTTTGTCGAAATCTAAAACTTACACCACTTTGCTGAACTGTACAATTTATTTAGAAGACCAGGCTGCAACTGTGCTTATTTAAAGATACAATCAAAAGATACATTGACTGTCAGCTTCAACTTTCTGTTGTCTTTCCTGGTTTTTCAGTGAAAGTTATTATCTAAAGGCCCCCTTTTTAATACACTTTTACTGTACTCAACAAAAGCTAGAAAAGTTTTGCAATTTGTAATTGAGTTGAAAATCAATAAAAGCAATTTCAAAGAATTGATTTGTTTCTCAGAAGAGTTTTCATTATTACCATTAAAACAAGCATCTAATTCTTTTCCAAAATGAGATTATCACAACAACAAAAAATCCTCCACAAAACCTTAAGCTGAAAACATTTTGTCATAACAGATTCTGTTACCTGTTTTTGCAGAAACGGCAATGTTACCATGACAATTTCCAAACAGTTTGAAACTTGCACATGTGTCTAAAACTAAAGAAACTACAAAGAATAATTTTTGCAAAATTATTTTCATCAATTTAATGAAGAATAATTTGATATTTTAAAGTACTTCAATATGTACATGTTACCAAATAGTGCAATGTTTCTATAAGCATCTTGTGTTACCATCAGTATATCATGTAAGTTTATATTTTTCTTTGGAAGGAAAGAAGCATCAAGATGTCATGAGTAATTTTGCTTAGGAGAAAAATTGAAGAAAGTAGCATCAAGATGTCATGAGTAATTTTGCTTAGGAGA